ACCAAGACTCACCATAAAACCTTTGTACCAAGACTCACCTTTGTACCAAGACTCACCTTTGTACCAAGACTCACCATAAAACATTTGTACCAAGACTCACCATAAAACCTTTGTACCACTGCTTAATTTCGTCCTTGTTAAATTTTGTGTTTTCCTGCAAGAAGCGCAGATCGTCCTTGGAGAGATGAGACATTCCTTTCCCCATGGTGACTGGTCAAGGTCACAATCTCTTCTCACAATCAACACAAGCACCAGCAATCCGAGGAAAATCTTGCGCTAATTTCTTGCTGACTGCTTGCAGGGAGAGACTGAAGAGAGAAGAAAACAGTTTCAGGTCAAATTAAACTCAGGTACCCATCAGAGCTGGGTGGACTAGAGTCAGGTACCCATCAGAGCTGGGTGGACTAGAGTCAGGTACCCATCAGAGCTGGGTGGACTAGAGTCAGGTACCCATCAGAGCTGGGTGGACTAGAGTCAGGTACCCATCAGAGCTGAGTGGACTAGAGTCAGGTACCCATCAGAGCTGGGTGGACTAGAGTCAGGTACCCATCAGAGCTGGGTGGACTAGAGTCAGGTACCCATCAGAGCTGGGTGGACTAGAGTCAGGTACCCATCAGAGCTGGGTGGACTAGAGTCAGGTACCCATCAGAGCTGGGTGGACTAGAGTCAAGTTTGTCATTCATTCAAAGACAGATGTCTCAAGTTTATTTCAGCACTACTTTTGTCATGCATAGAACCACAGAACAACACACAAAAAAAAACGCATAGACTACTAGTGTTGTTGGTTGTGTGGTGGATTGTTTGGTTGGTGTGGTTGATTGCATGGTTGACAATGAGGATGATTGTGTGGTTGATTGTGTGGTTCGTTGTGTGAGATTGTGTGTTCGGTTTAAAGATTGTGTTGCATTGTAGCTAACGTGATACAATCTTATGACAAAATAAATTTAAAATGGGGGTGGGGGTGGAGCAGACAATCTAGCCTCAGGCATGGATAAAAGTTCCTCAAGATTTGACAGATTCAAAGTTTTCAAATGCGGCAACACACCTTCAGTTCACGTTCAAGTCGTACAAGGGGCGGTAAGCGGCAGTCAACAGATCAAATTATTTTAACCAACATAGATCTAGTGTAATGACGTGCATTAGACACGATCTTTGTTTTTAAGTTAAAACTACAAACTACATATCCACAAAACTAGACCAGCTCTACCACAAAACTAGACCAGCTCTACCACAAAACTAGACCAGCTCTACCACAAAACTAGACCAGATCTACCACAAAACTAGACCAGCTCTACCACAAAACTAGACCAGATCTACCACAAAACTAGACCAGATCTACGACTGAATTAGACCACCTGTACTGAAAAAGAAAGCTGTCAAATAATTCTGGGTGTCTTTGTTGTATTTCGATCCCCAGCTATCCTTACACTAGTGTGTGCAATTGTTATCTTATCAATCAAGCAGATTAAAGCGGGGGATTAAGGCCGCTCTGGCCAGTGTTAACATGTGTACACACAAACCTAGACCTAGACACACACACACAAACCTAGACCTAGACGTACACATACAAACCTAGACACACACACACACAAACCTAAACACACACAGAAACCTAGACACACACACAGAAACCTAGACACACACACACAAACCTAGACACACACACACACAAACCTAAACACACACAGAAACCTAGACACACACACACACAAACCTAGACACACACACACAAACCTAGACACACACAGAAACCTAAGCACACACACAAACCTAGACACACACACACACAAACCTAGACACACACACACACAAACCTAAACACACACACACACCTAGACGTACACACACACACACAAACCTAGACGTAGACACACAAACCTAGACGTACACACACACACAAACCTAGACGTAGACACACACACACAAACCTAGACGTACACACACATAAACCTAGACGTACACACACACACAAACCTAGACGTACACACACAAACCTAGACACACACACAAACCTAGACGTAGACACACACACACACAAACCTAGACGTACACACACACAAACCTAGACGTAGACACACACACACACAAAACCTAGACGTACACACACACACAAACCTAGACGTACACACACACACACACACACCTAGACGTAGACACACACACACAAACCTAGACGTAGACACACACACACAAACCTAGACGTAGACACACACAAAACCTAGACGTAGACACACACACAAACCTAGACGTAGACACACACACACAAACCTAGACGTAGACACACACACACACAAACCTAGACGTAGACACACACACACACCTAGACACACACACAAACCTAGACGTAGACACACACACACAAACCTAGACACACACACAAACCTAGACGTACACACACACACACAAACCTAGACGTAGACACACACACAAACCTAGACGTACACACACACACACATAAACCTAGACGTAGACACACACACACACAAACCTAGACGTAGACACACACACACACAAACCTAGACGTAGACACACACACAAACCTAGACACACACAAACCTAGACGTACACACACACACACACAAACCTAGACGTAGACACACACACAAACCTAGACACACACACAAACCTAGACGTACACACACACACACACAAACCTAGACGTAGACACACACACAAACCTAGACACACACACAAACCTAGACGTACACACACACACACACAAACCTAGACGTAGACACACACACAAACCTAGACACACACACAAACCTAGACGTACACACACACACACAAACCTAGACGTAGACACACACACACAAACCTAGACGTACACACACACACACACACAAACCTAGACGTAGACACACACAAACCAAGACGTACACACACACACACACAAACCAAGACGTACACACACACACAACCTAGACGTAGACACACACACACACAAAAAGCTGTTTACAAATGTTGCTTTAATGCAAAAGTTTGTAAACGGCAGGAAGTAACCTGTTTTGAATATTAGTTATTTGAAGTGAAGTGTAGGTTGTTGCTTTATGTGCCAAATAAATAAGAATTAAAACAGAAACTAGATGACAGATGGAGCTACACAGATATGGCAAGGTTTATCTCAAGAGTACAGAACATTTTCTTATAAGGCCATAGCTCATTAGCAATGGCAGATTATGGAGTTGAACAGGAGACACCAAAATTCGGGGCTCTAAAAAAATCTTATCAACAACAGTAAAAATAGTTTTCCTATCGATTTTCTTATAAGCCTTTTCTTCTAAATTTACAAATACGAAAGAATGAGATTTTTTTTCTCTCATAAAATATATATACTTCTGTCCTTTAGTCGGACATCAACGCCCACTCTCTACAGTTTAAACTTTAGCTGTCATCGCTTCATGTCAAACAATGTTTATTTAACATGATTCTCTTCCTAAAATTAGTGGGCTGATCACATATACTAAAGTAATATAAAGTGATATATCTATTTTTATAATCATAGTGCAGAGGCGTAGCGATGGGGGGGGGGGGGGGGAGGGGGTACATCATGAGCAACGCTAACATCATGAGCAGCCAACATCATGAGCGGCGCTAACATGATGAGCAGCGCCAACAAAATGAGCTAACATCATGAGCGGCGCTAACATCATGAGCAGCGCTGACATCATGAGCAGCGCTGACATCATGAGCGGCGCTAACATCATGAGCAGCGCTGACATCATGAGCTAACATCATGAGCAGCGCTGACATCATGAGCGGCGCTAACATCATGAGCAGCGCTGACATCATGAGCAGTTGGACAAAACAAACCAGCTGAGGCAGAGCTGGAAATATTGGACGCACATTGCAACATTCGATCGATCAAGTATCGATTTGGTGCGATCACCAATATTGACGCGCAGATATCTGCAGGGTATTTAAGTGTAGGGCGGGGTTTGGTGGTGGCTGGGTCGCCAATATGTAAGTAGTAAGCTGTGCAGAGTGAACTCTTTCTCTTAGGCATCTCTTCGGGGGGGGGGGGGGGGGGGGTTGGGGAGAAAATGTCTGCAAGAAACACTGAGTGTGAAGTGACTAGTCCCTACATCTACGTCATGTGATGTCACCTGTCTGATAGTGTGTAGTGTGACGTCACACGTTTTAAAACGACACACGACACAGCTGTGGTCATGCCTAAGTTCAAACATTCTTTTACGTGTACCGGTTAGTGTGAGGGGGGGGGGGGGGCAGCAGTTGACGCCCACCAGGACGTTTCAACTTGACACTACGACAACAGGTAGCGGGGGGGGGGGGGGGGGCGGGGTGACTGGCTTGTGTAGACAGAATAGCTAGGTCTAGGGTTAGCTTGAACTAGCGATTTAAAGTTTAGGCCGATCAACATACTCTAGTCGTAAAATCGTCTAGACCAGTGTGTGTAGACCAGTGTGTGTAGACTAGTGTGTAGACCAGTGTGTAGAGCACAAAACGCGGAAGAAAAAACAAAACACTTGTCTGACTGTTTTTCTTTACGCCAGAACACAAAAATTCAGACCGCAAGCTCGACACAGTCGAGTGTGTCAAGTGTGTTCGACTGAAGGTCTATGAAAATGTTAGACAAAATAATTGTCACTGAAGGTCTATGAAAATGTTAGACAAAATAGTTGTAACACTGAAGGTCTATGAAAATGTTCGACAAAATAGTTGTAACTACAGGTCTATGAAAATGTTCGACAAAATAGTTGTCACTGAAGGTCTATGAAAATGTTAGACAAAATAGTTGTAACACTGAAGGTCTATGAAAATGTTCGACAAAATAGTTGTAACTACAGGTCTATGAAAATGTTCGACAAAATAGTTGTCATTGAAGGTCTATGAAAGGCTGGGCAAACTAACAAAAGGTTTACTTACATGGAGAGAAAAATGTCCCACTAGCGAGGCGGCAGCTGGACGAGTAAACACAGCTAGGCTCGTCTAGTCGGGCGCTAGGGGAGTCAAGGGAGGCTAGTCAGGCGGGGACTGAGCCGGAGTTATCTTTCCCTGTCCCACGCGACATTATTAATGCAAGAATCTTACAGCCCATGTAATGGGGAGAGGTGGGGGTGGGGGGGGGGGGGCGACTTCAAGATAAATAATCAAACTTACTGAGACCCGCGGTATCAGTCAAACTTCACAACCACACACATCACAACCACACATCACAACCACACACATCACAACCACACATATCACAACCACACATATCACAACCACACATCACAACCACACATCACAACCACACACATCACAACCACACACATCACAACCACACATATAACAATCACACATCACAATCACATATCACAACCACACACATCACAATCACACATCACAATCACAAACATCACAACCACACATATCACAACCACACACATCACAACCACACATATCACACATCACAACCACACATCACAATCACACCTCACAACCACACATCACAATCACGCATCACAATCACACATCACAACCACACATATCACAACCACACATATCACAACCACACACATCACAATCACACATCACAATCACACCTCACAACCACACATCACAATCACACCTCACAACCACACATCACAATCACACATCACAATCACACTTCACAATCACACATCACAACCACACATATCACAACCACACATATCACAACCACACACATCATAACCACACACATCACAACCACACACATCACAACAACCACATCATAACCACACACATCACAACCACACATACAACCACACACACCACAACCACACATATCACAACCACATATCACAACCACACATATCACAACCACATATCACAACCACACATATCACAACCACGCACATCACAACTACACACATCACAACCACGCATCACAATCACACACATATCACAACCACACACATCACAACCACACACATCACAACCACACACATCACAACCACACACATCACAACCACACACATCACAACCACACACATCATAACCACACACATCATAACCACACACATCACAACCACACATATCACAACCACGAACACCACAACCACACATATCACAACCACACATCACAACCACACATATCACAACCACGCGTCTCACAACCACACATATCACAACCACAACCACACACATATCACAACCACACACATATCACAACCACACACATCACAACCACACACATCCAAACCACACACATCACAACCACACACACCACAACCACACACATCACAATCACACATCACAATCACACACATCACAACCACACACATCACAACCACACACATCACAACCACACACATCACAACCACACACATCACAACCACACACATCACAATCACACCCATCACAATCACACATCACAACCACACACATCACAACCACACACATCACACATCACAACCACACAGCACAACCACCCAGCACAACCCTACATATCACAACCACATATCACAACCACACACATCACAACCACACACATCACAACCACACACATCACATCCACACACATCACACATCACAACCACACAGCACAACCACACATATCACAAGCACACACATCACAACATCACACATTACAACCACACATCACAACCCCACATCAATACCACACACATCACAACCACACACATCACAATCACACATCAGAACCACACACATCACAACCACACACATCACAACCACACACAGCACAACCACACATACCACAACCACACACATCACAACCACACAGCACAACCACACACATCACAATCACACATCACAACCACACACATCACAACCACACACATCACACATCACATATCACAACCACATAGCACAACCACCCAGCACAACCCTACATATTACAACCACATATCAATACCACACACATCACAACCACACACATCACAACCACACACATCACAACCACACACATCACAACCACACACATCACAACCACACACATCACACATCACAACCACACAGCACAACCACACATATCACAACCACACACATCACAACATCACACATCACAACCACACACATCACAACCACACACATCACACATCACAACCACACAGCACAACCACCCAGCACAACCCTACATATCACAACCACATATCACAACCACACACATCACAACCACACACATCACAACCACACACATCACAACCACAAACATCACATCCACACACATCACACATCACAACCACACAGCATAACCACATATATCACAACCACACACATCACAACATCACACATTACAACCACACATCACAACCCCACATCAGTACCACACACATCACAACCACACACATCACAACCACACATCACAACCACACACATCACAACCACACACATCACAACCACACACGTCACAACCACACATCACAACCACACATCACAACCACCCAGCACAACCCTACATATCACAACCACATATCACAACCACACACATCACAACCACACACATCACAACCACGCACATCACAACCACACACATCAAAACCACACACATCAAAACCACACACATCACAACCACACATCACAATCACACATCACAATCACACATCACAACCACACATATCACAACCACACATATCACAACCACACACATCATAACCACACACATCACAACCACACACATCACAACAACCACATCATAACCACACACATCACAACCACACATCACAACCACACACACCACAACCACACATATCACAACCACATATCACAACCACACATATCACAACCACGCACATCACAACCACACACATCACAACCACGCATCACAATTACACACATATCACAACCACACACATCACAACCACACACATCACAACCACACACATCACAACCACACACATCACAACCACACACATCACAACCACACACATCACAACCACACACATCACAATCACACCCATCACAATCACACATCACAACCACACATCACAACCACCCAGCACAACCCTACATATCACAACCACATATCACAACCACACACATCACAACCACACACATCACAACCACGCACATCACAACCACACACATATCACAACCACACACATATCACAACCACACACATCACAACCACACATCTCAACCACACACATCACAACCACACACACCACAACCACACACATCACAATCACACATCACAATCACACACATCACAACCACACACATCACAACCACACACATCACAACCACACACATCACAACCACACACATCACAACCACACACATCACAACCACACACATCAAAACCAACCACATCACAACCACACATCACAACCACACACATCACAACAACACACATCACAACAACACACATCACAACCACACATCACAACCACACATCACAACCACACACATCACAACCACACACATCACAACCACACATCACAAGCACACATCACAACCACACATGGTATGTTTAATTGTAGTTTGCATAAGGTGATAGGAAGTTTTCTCTCTTTGCCTTCAGGACCTAAGTCCTACATGGCAGAAGTCCTACAGAACTTAAGTCCTACATGGAAGAAGTCCATCAAGAAGTGAATCATATATTTATTTCTAACAGTTTTCATAAAACTGTGACTGAAGTAAAGGTGGATGCTTGCTTTGATGTGTCACCCAATGTGTCACCCAGTGTGTCACCCAATGTGTCACCTAATGTGTCACCCAATGTGTCACCTAATGTGTCACCCAATGTGTCACCTAATGTGTCACCTAATGTGTCACCCAATGTGTCACCTAATGTGTCACCCAATGTGTCACCCAATGTGTCACCTAATGTGTCACCTAATGTGTCACCTAATGTGTCACCCAATGTGTCACCCAAGAGGAAAAAGAAATGTCCAATCAATCGACTGTGGCTCTATCTAAAAGCAAAAGTAAATTTATCCATAGTTGTCGATCGTTTGCAGCGCATGACATCCCACTGTTACATGACATCCGACTGTTACATGACATCCCACTGTTACATGACATCCCACTGTTACATCCCACTGTTACATGACATCCCACTGTTACATGACATACCACTGTTACATGACATCCCACTGTTACATGACATCCCGCTGTTACATCCCACTGTTACATCCCACTGTTACATGACATCACACTGTTACATGACATCCCACTGTTACATGACATCACACTGTTACATGACATCACACTGTTACATGACATCACACTGTTACATGACATCCCACTGTTACATGACATCCCACTGTTACATGACATCCCACTGTTACATGACATCCCACTGTTACATGACATCCCACTGTTACATCCCACTGTTACATGACATCACACTGTTACATGACATCACACTGTTACATGACATCACACTGTTACATCCCTCACATCAACCACCCCAAACCTCACCCCCCACATCACCCACCCCAAACCTCACCCCCTAGAGCAAGCAACCGTGTCACCCCCCCCCCCCAAACTCAGCTGAATAAAACATGGCGCCGCTACATGATGACGTCATTACATCTATCTACCCATCCATTATTCAGCAGGTCACGTGATCGGATGTGGCGGAGAGAACCTTCTCCTACAGGCCAGATGTTGCTAGATGTGGCTAGATGTGGCTAGATGTGGCTAGATGTGGCTAGATGTGGCTAGATGTGGCTAGATGTGGCCAGATGTGGCTAGATGTGGCTAGATGTTGCTAGATGTGGCTAGATGTGGCTAGATGTGGCTAGATGTGGCTAGATGTGGCTAGATGTGGCTAGATGTGGCTAGATGTGGCCAGATGTGGCTAGATGTGGCTAGATGTGGCCAGATGTGGCTAGATGTGGCTAGATGTGGCTAGATGTTGCTACATGTGGCTAGATGTGGCTAGATGTGGCTAGATGTGGCTAGATGTGGCTAGATGTGGCTAGATGTGGCTAGATATGGCTAGTGGCTAGATGTGGCTAGATGTTGCTAGATGTGGCTAGATGTGGCTAGATGTGGCCAGATGTGGCTAGATATGGCTAGTGGCTAGATGTGGCTAGATGTGGCT